ATGATAGATTCTTGTACTAAGGGACCCGAATGTTAAAAATATATTTCTTTGGTATGAAATATGTGTTACATGCAATGTGTGGGTTGGGCGTTACAGAATGATATCAGAGCCTGATTTTAAGGGATTTAGGTATTTTAACAGCATGATACCTAGACTTAAGCTGTTTTATTGCATGTTAAGGGTCCCGGACATAGTTAGCACCATTGGATATAAATATGATAAGTTGAAAGAACAGTGTGTAAGGTGAATTTTAATTACATCTGGCCAGTGTAATTATAAATTTACAGGTACATATCTGAACTTGAATACTTCATTATATTTGGGAATGTGAATACGTGAATATTAATATTAAAATTCTGCAGATGTCTAACCAAACCAGAAGGTCTGAAAGAATAGTTCGTCCAGAATCTAAAGAAAGGGAGGAATCTTTGGTTAATTTTCCAGTCGGTACGACTGGAAATAGAGGTCGAGGAAGATCAAGGGGGCGAGGTAGAGGGAGGAGTCAGTCTCAGGGAAGGAGTCGGGCTGAAATATATTCTGAGCAGGAAAAATCACACTTTGGGAATGTTCAAGGAGGAACGGTACCACACCCAGAATATATAACCAGAGATGTGTTAGCAGAGGAAATGGGAAAATTACGAGAAACTCTGATATCTATTATGGGGATACCTGCTAGAGTAGAAACAGAAAGAGTAGAGGTTTATCCATCTGCTCCAATCACTCATAATAGAGAAGGAGATATTAAGACATTTTTAGCGTGTAAACCACCAACCTTCTCTGGAGAAAGAGATCCGGTGAAGGCAATGTGCTGGATCAAGGAGATGGAATTTGTATTCAACACCATTAGATGCCCGAAAACAGATAAAGTACGATTTGTTGTTTCAGTATTAAAGTCAAATGCTTTATTCTGGTGGGAAGTGGAATCGTCTACCAGAACGGATGTTTTACAGTCTATGTCATGGATGGAATTTGTGGATCGATTTAAAAATCAATTATGTCCTAAAACGGCTGTGAGACAAATGGAAGAAGATTTCTTGAAGCTGGAACAAGGAAATAAGACTGTACGGGAGTATACTGAAAAATTTATTGAATACTCTCGTTTTGCCGAACATTATGTTTCAACCGAATCAAGGAAGATAGAAAGGTTTATTCGGGGTCTGAAGCCCTCAATTAGGGAATTCGTTATTGTAATGAACCCCAATATCTTTCCATTGACAATAGAGGCGGCTGAAGTGACTGAAAGAAACAAGAATAGACAGTCAGAGGGGAAGATTGTTGAGAAACGAATGGGAAGGACCTTCGTCTTTTCGAGGACCCAAGACTGTGAGATATGACAACCGATCTGAACAAAAGAGCAATACGAAAGTTCAGCAGGGTAATGATAAAATGGATCCAAGAAAATGTTATATATGTGGTGAAGCGGATCATCTGTCCAGAAATTATCCAACTAACAAAAGGTGTTTTAACTGTAATTCTCCAGATCATATTCGACCAAATTGCCCCTTGTTAAGAAATCCGCAGTTAACAATGGGGAGTAATGCATCGGGTAATCAGGGAAGAACTACTGGGAATCAAGGAGGACAAGGAGGGGCGCGGGGACGATCCTTCCAAATGACCAAGAATGAGGCAGAAGCATCGCCAGATGTAGTAACAGCTACTTTTCTTCTGAATTCAATACGTGTTAAAGTGTTATTTGACTCTGGTGCAAACTTTTCGTTTGTATCACCATTGTTTGCTCAAACTGCATGTTTGAATTMTGTGCTGCTTGATGATAAATTAGTAGTTGATACTGCTAATAATCAAGAAACTGTTACTAGTGTGTTCAATGACTGTCTTATAGTCATTGAAAACTTTGAACTCCCGATCCGGTTATTTCCTATGCCAATGAAAGAATTTGACATAGTAGTGGGTATGGACTGGTTGGCAAAGTATCATACTAGCATTGATTGTAATAAAAAGATGATCAGAATTATTTTGCCAGATCAGAAAACAATTATTATTTATGGTGACCGTCAGGATCATCACATTAGTATTCTGTCAGTAATGAAAGCTCGAAAGAGTATCCGAAAGAAGTGCCAAGGATGTTTGTCATATGTCATTGATTTAAAGATAGAGAAAAGAAAGGAAGAATTGATTCTGATAGTTTGTGAATATCCAGAAGTTTTTCCGGAAGACTTATCTGGATTACCACCAGATAGAGTTATTGAATTCCGAATCGATCTTATACCAGGGGCTGCACCTGTAGCTAAGGCTCTGTATCGTTTAGCTCCATCCGAACTAAAGGAATTGGCAACACAGTTGAAAGATTTGACTGATAAAGGGTTTATAAGGCCTAGCACTTCGCCTTGGGGTGCT